CTTGATATATGTACAAGCCGTCACTTTCATATTTGAGTTCCATGCCAAAATATGTTCTTGGATCTTCATTTCTTGTCATCTCAAATTCCTTGTTCAGTTTCTTCAGTAATTCCTCAAGTTGTGCCTTGTCTTTTCCAAAAACAATACCATCATCTACATGAATGGCTATGATGATATCATCTTTCTTACTCTTGGAAATACACTGATCTGCTTGCAATTGTGTTAGTCCTTCCTGTTTCAGAAAATTTGTCAACTTTTTGTTTCATCTGCATGGAGCTTGTTTCAAACCATAAAGTGCCTTTTTTAGCTCACAGACTTTACCTGATTCACTGTACCCTTCAGGTAACTTCATATATATTTCTTCTTCATTTAGCTCTCCATGTAAAGAAGCGGTTTTTATGTCAGATGTCTGCATTATCATGTTTTCTCTAACAGCAATTGCAATCAATTATCTCAGAGCACTTGTATCTACAACAGGACTAAATATGTCTTTGTAGTCTAGACTGCCATCTTTTTGCTGGCAGCCTCGAACCACAAGACGTGCTTTGTATTTTCCATTTTCTTTAAATTTGAAAATCCATTTTGCTGTGAGCAATTCTTTACCTACAGCTCCTTCTTCGTCTACCAGTTCCCAGGTCTCATTTATTTTCAGTGAATTTTGTTCATCTTCTATTGCTTTACGCCATTGTTTCTTGTCTGAACACTGCATTGTCTCATTGTATGTCAGCAACACTTCATCATCCACAAAATCATAATCTTCAAATCTCTTGGGCTTTTGAAGATCATCTCTCTTTCTCAGATTGTAGCTGGCTCTTTCAATTTTTTTTCCAAATTATTTTCATTTCTCACTTCTGGGTGTTCATCAAGTACTTGATTTATTTCCTCATTCAACTCTTCTTCTTCTTCCTGTTGTTCAAATTGTTCCTGATCATTTCCTTCATTTTCCTCTTCTTCATCAGTCTCTTTTTCAAAAATCTGAATATTTGCTTCACCTTTCTCTTCATTTTGGCAGAAAAATGAATTAGTGAAAATAACATCTCTGTTTGTGAATTTTTAATTTTTTTCTGGATCCCACAATCTGTAGCCGTTTGTGGAATATCCTACAAACATTGATTCTTTACTTCTGCTGTCCAGCTTCTTCAATGGTTTCACTATTTTTGCATGCACCTTTCTATCAAAAATCTGAAGTCCACTCAAATCTGGTTTCTTTCCATACCATTTTTCAGCTGGTGTCATATCTGATCCTTTTGTAGGGCTTCTGTTTGTGAGATAAGCCGCTGTGAGAACTGCTTCGCCCCACATCTCTTTTTCACATTTTGCATCGAACAACATAGCTCTTGCTTTCTTCATCAATGTTAGATTCAACCTCTCAGATTTTCCATCCAACTGTGGAGTGTGAGGAATAGTGAAATCAATCATAATGCCTCTCTCTTTGCACAAGTCAATGAACTGAGCATTTTTATACTCTCCACCATTATCACATCTGAATTTACTGACTTCAAGGTTGAAATGAGCCTCAGACTCATGAACATACTGTTCAATGAACATAAACACTTCATTTGCTGATCTGGTATTAAGCAAAAATACAACACAAAAATGTGACCAGTCATCCAGCAATGTGAGGAAATAATTCTTGCCATCATACGTCGGGAGATCAATCGGACCACAAAGATCACTATGTATAATTTGAAGGGGTCTCTCTGCTCTCTGTCTTACAGTCTTGAATAGCAGTCTTAATTGTTTAGTTTTGGCACACACAGAGCAGTCCATAACAGTTTCATCATTAAATTTGACACCTTCACACATTCTAGGAAGTTCCTGTATTTGTTTCATATTCAAATGACCTATTTTTTTTTGTGCCAGGTTATCAGTGTATTATTTTTCTCTTTTGTGATCAGATTAGCTTCACTCTGTGCATTTAGTTTCACGACATACATGCCATTTCGTTTTTTTTTTTGTACCTTCAAGCACCACACATTCTGTCGGCAATTCAATTTTATTGTTCAAGATGTACACCATCTCGTCATCGAAATATACAGCACCCTTATTTTGTTTTCTTTTGTTCACAAATAAAAGATTCTTTGTCAATTCAGGAACACAGTGAACTTGATTCAGTATACAGTTTTCGAACTCTATGTGACCAACTCCTGTAACTGACATACTTTCCCCGTTTTTAGCAGTTTTTATTCGTTCTGAATGTTTTTCCATCTCCGACACATGATCAGCCACATTTACCAAATGAGTAGTTGCTCCACTATCGACTATGAACTCAAAACAATCATTATTGAACTCGGCTTCATTTGCTTCGAGGCTGTTAACACCATCAGCTTCTACATTTTGAGAAAAAAAAGCGAATTTAACATGTTCGTCATATTTACCATATTTATTATAACTACTACCAGTTCAACTTTTATTTCTGAAGAAACAATTCTCCTCTCTATGATCTGTTTTCTTACAAATACTGCATGCTCCATCTCTCAAGTAACAATTTTCTTCAGTATGAGTATTTTTCTTACATATTTTACATAACTTTTTCTTAGGACAGTTTGTTTTAATATGCCCCACTTCATTACATGAGTGACAAATTACTTTCTTCATGCCTCTGTTTTCCATTTCAGCTCTAAAAGATACATTGGTGTCTTCTTTCGTGCCCATTTTCATTTTGTCTCCTTCCAGTGTCAGTCTTGTGATGAGATTCTCCAGGGTTTAATGAGACTCTTGTGTAGAATCCCATGCGCTGCTGAAATGTTTAGATTGTTCAGGGAGTACAGTCATTATCTTGGAGATCATCATTGGTTCTGTTATTTTTTCATCTAGGCATTTCAATTTACAAATCACATTCTGGAGTTCACTGATATTTGTATTGAGGTCTCTCGATTTGTCAAACTTGAAATTGTAAAACTCCTGTAGTAATGAACATTTTTGTTTCTTACTTGTATATCCTCAGTATAGTATCATACATTTCTTCAGCAGTTTCACATGACATGAGATGCGCTTCCACTTTATTGTCTTTTGTTCTTAGAATCACATGTTTAGCTGGGGCATCCTTGGTTTTTCATTTTTCCTTCTTTGCTTCATCTTATCCACAATCTGCCATTTTATCTGTACCATCGACCACATCCATTAGTTTCTTGGCTGTGAACAGAATCTTTACCTCAAAATGCCACATGGGAAATGAGCTCGAGACTTTCAGTTTCTGTAAGCACGCGACCTCGTCACTTTCTACTTTTATTGATGCCATCTTGTAGCACACTGTTTTTATTTCTTGTTTTATGTTAATAGCCACACTCTGGGCCCGTAACCTGTTGTTTTATTTTAGTTTGATTCAATTTTTCAATATGCTCTATAAAATTGCAATGAGTGACATACATATAATATTTGTGACATTCATTAGAGTAATTTGCAAAGTCAAAACATTTTCCATTACCTACTTACATATTATCAATATGTGATTTCCTAACGCTAATAATAATTTCGAGATTCTAAACGTTGAAAATCAAGAAATGAAACTCAATCATTCTGAATCATGAAAAATCAACAAACTCAAAATTTCAACCCCAACCACAATAGTTCACCACTGATAAATATGCTTTTTAAGTAGGTGATTGCATGTAGTGTGATTGAGAGTATTGTGAAAATCTTATCGTTTGTGAAGTTCTCACAGCTTCATGATTGTTCAGAATCCGTCTATCAAACACACGATATCTTCGAGTTCGTTCTGATAATCTCTAGGCGATTGCGGAATGAAATACAGGGTTTTCCATTCAGAAATTAAGAGTGAGGGCGATGGAACGAAGATTGTTCGTCAATAAATGAGCAATTTGGTATACTTGCTACCCACTGACTTTCAAAATCCGATCTGACATGATTCAGATTTTACAGAACTGGCCAATTCATGTGCACTTCTCTATAAAATGAATTGAAATAATAGTCAAATCGTAGTAATCATCCATACTCGAAGTGACCCAATGCCTTTCCAAAGGGAATCAGAGACACAAAGTCGGTCGACCACACATTTTCTCAGAATGAAAATCAGGAAACAGTAACGGGAAGCTGTACGATATCTGAACTTCTCGCTCAATAAAACAATGATACGTCACATAGTTTTGAAGTGTTAGGCATGAATGATTTTCACATTTTCAAATAAAATATTATTTTGTTATTGGTTTGAATCTTTGAAATTGAATTCGATAGTTTAGATATAACCAATAAGTAATGAAACACCCTAGAGTCACTGGTTTAATTTCGATTGGTAGTATAATCTTAAATCATCAGACATCTGGAGTAGGTTTTGGTTTCCATTCCTAACCTCCAATAGGTAGTTTCACTTTGAATATTCTTGAAATGAGATTTTACCTGTTCGTGTTGTTTTTTTATGTTGATATGAATATGTGAGGTTATACTGATCCTCTAGACAAGAGGTACCTGTTTCAATAATAGTCAGAATGTGATTTCTTATCAGCGCAATATACCCACATTGGTTTGGTCTACTAAAATTGTTGTTGTAAAAAAAAAAAAATAGTTGTTTTTTTGTTGGGTACAAAAACAAATCTTCACATTCAATGAGAATACGGATTCCATGAGAATTTTCGAGAATATTATTCGACAGGCTCATCTCCTATATCATTATAACTGGGTGGATAGAACTTCTTCCATTATTCGTTGGCGAATTCATAATTGCAAGAGTAAATTGTATAAAGTATGAGGATGACATCAGAATAAAGAGTTATAATAACAAAATCAAATTGAATATGTAATAATAATCTATGGTAGAAGTTCATCAGTTCTCAAAGTGGAATGTTTTTTATACCATGGAGATGACTAGAAGTTTTGATCCCTGGTGTATATACATAGCAACAGGAATTTGGAACTCGAAGAAATATTATACTTTGATATCAGTGATGAATATTTTCGGAAATTGAATACGTCTGTCTGCAAGATAAAACCTGGTTAAATTGATCTGAACCATCTCATGATATATCATTTCCATATCGTTTCAGGTTGTTGAAGTTTGTGCTTTGAAGTACGACTTCAGTATCTTGAAAAACGGTGACGAGACTATTGTGACTGATCGAGGATTGAATTTGAGCAGAGGACAACAGGCGCGAATTAATCTAGCCAGGGCTATTTATAAAGAAAGCGACATCTATCTCATAGATGATGCCCTATCAGCTCTCGATATACGAGTGCAAACCCAAATCTTCAGAGATTGCATCAAGGGTTTCTTGAAAGACAAATTGGTGATATTGGTAACACACAACAAGAAACACATTCAATCTGCTGATGAATTAGTAGTCTTGGAAAATGGCACTGTGAAATTCAACGGAGATCAGCAAGATCTATCTGAAGATCTCATACGAGTACTTGAACACGAGGACCCAAACATGGAATTGGAAAATGCTGATGATAATTCACTGAATGATGAGAAAACAAGACTCTTGGATGACCTGATAGGAGTTGAGAAGAAGCAAGTCTATTTCGAATCAAAAAAAGCAGGAGGTGTGGATTTTGGAGTCTACAAAAAATACATGAAATATGGAGGTGGCGTGTTTTTCTTGATATTCATATTCACAATGTTCATCGCTTCAACGTTGAGTGAGAGTTCCTCTACGAAAATGTTGAGCAATTGGTGAGTTGGAATGATTATATCAGAAATAATCACGTGCTATGGATGTTGAATTATGCTTTTGTAATATGTTATGTGGCGTTGGTTTGAAGAACAGAAACCGAACAAAGGAGTAGAATCAGAATTGAAATGCAATAGATATCAGTTGTGATATTCAATATCAACACAACGAGGAAAGGGCAATATCGATCATAAAACTGATTCAACCTGGCAAAAAACAAATTTGGTTTTTTCAATTATTTTCATTCCATACTCATGAATTTCGATTTTCATTATCAGAACAAAGTTACACTCTCCACCCATCATTGGGCAAGGATTCATGTCAATTTCTTCACGTTGTCGTAACATTGATGAACATTCCACGTTATGATATAAGATACAATAAAGTATCCAGCTCCTTCCAGTAGCGTTGGATTCTTCGCCAATGGATACATTCTCAAGAAAAAATCACCTTCAAAAGTTCTATAAGAATTCCATAATCTAGGTACTCCCTCTCCCTGTCTGCCCTAGACATGCGCGATATTCACGAACATTATAGGGATACCATTTCGTGCTCTCCAAGAGGTAGAAAAAATATATCTGAGGCCTTTTCACGTAACACACAGGTAATCATATTGAGGTAGTCTTCATATTACAAATAACATTACTTCTTGTTGACGTTATTGATCCAAAACTACTATTAGTTTCATGATGGAACTGTCACCACTATTGTTATGTTATCGTGCCATGTCTTTCTGATTATATTTGTCACTCATATTTCCACCAGACGTTCCATTGGTACTATGACATACTTCATCGATAAGCTTGAATCATCGAAATGAAGAAACAATTTTGTTTCACTATTTCATCACTCAATACATTCATGAGTTATACTGATTATTGCTGGGATTTGAGGAAGTATCAGGGAACACCTTCCGAAAATATGAGTATCATCAAATCATTGGGAAAAGTATCCTCAACACATTTATCCTCATCATCGAATGATATTCTATCATCTCAGGTATGGTTATCAATCATATCCTATTCATCCTCATATTATTTACTTGATCAAGTCAATTCATTCATTCGATGTTTTTTCAGGATTTGTTTCTATTTATCGCTACTTGCATGATCAAACTATTTCCGAATCGAATACAGCACTAAAAATCAACTGGCATGGGATCTACAGAAAGTAACTGGAAATGACTCATTCCACCTTTGGGAATAGAGTCTTTCATTTGATAGGAGCAGAGCATCAGTATTTCATCGAACGAATGAAATTTCATGAACCATATCTTAGATGATTCCATGATATTCTATCGACTCATTCTATTCAGCCATTGGTCTGGATTGGAACTAGAAGGTTATTTTACTTGGAGGATTGAGTTTAGTTGGACAAGAGGCACCTACAGATACTTCTCAATGCATATGGCCAACTGATTTGCTCAGGTAGGTACTCACAATATTGAAGGGGTTTCCTAGAACACGAGAAGAATATATCAAGTATGATTTTTGCTGATATTTCTTCGAGTTTTCCTTGTTTTTTTTTTCATCTCTTGGGGCGCACGAAAGGTGTAGCTGGAATATTGGGTAAGTGTAGGTAGCCCCTCATATAATTTGATTGGATATATGTTCAGGCATCTCTATCTTCCGATTAATATATTCAACATACAACTGCACAATTTTCAAAAAGCAAGAGTCTCTTGAAGTAGTTTACCTCTACTCTCTCGAGGATGTCATGTCATGAAACCCTCAACAGGAATAAGAGTCGTCATCTCACTGAAAATCGTTGCATGATGAAGTATCATTCAGCCTTGCCATGAATTGATACTGGTCTTCTCCATTATGGGCAGTTTTCTTATCGTTTGAAGCACGGAAGAGGTAACCTCTATCATGTTTGCAGAAAAATGTGCGTACTCACCGAGAATAATGAGAGGAGGTAGGTGTTCCTTTCGAACTTGGGAAGATTTAAAGTACATGGGAATACTTTCTCAGGCGATCAATAGCTTGATTTGCTTCATTGTCTGATGAAACTGTCACCTCACGAAAAAATGGAGATGAGATGAAAGGCACTCCTAGATAGACGTACTTATTCGTCATAGATATGTCGGCATTGTCAAAATAGAATTCATATCCTGGATTATAAAACCTACGAGCATCCTCAGAAAACCACATTATCTTTGTTTATTGGCATCAATTCCAAATTCATTATCGGCAGTGTATTCCACTAGGATTTTGAGATCATAAGATATGTCTATTTATGATTGTCAATATCGTTGTGAACTGGGTCGTTCGAATAGCGAATGATATATTCTGCATAGTTTCGTGTTCATAGGAAGTTACCATTGTAACTTTGAAAATAACGCCAGCAAACTTTTTTTCCATGTTATTCGCACAGTGAGTGAGAAATAGTACCAAAAATTTACAACCATAGCTTCGAAAGAAATAAATTATATGTCCAGGCACCATCACGTATTTTTCTGGAACAATATGAACCATGTGAAGATGATCCTGATTGCATTCAGTCATAAGAACTTTTTTACATTCATTATTTCTCAATCCGAAATCTATACAACGATTCTTCGTTTCTTCGTTCTCAACCTTCTCAATAAGTATTACTGTTGCTTCGATAGTTCGATATCAAATACCTACTTTCAGAATTTGATTCAATTGATCTCATCCTCATTTATGACTAGGATTAAACATGTTCTCTTCATAATATAAATCTGATAGTTATCAGAGTTTCTCAGAGTGAATTTTTGAAATAATATTCCCAATAACAGATACAGGGTGATTCATATATGAGAGTGCAGCAGAACTATTCATCATTTTACTATTCGAGGAAGTTCCTGTTGAATTTCAAAAATCGGAGTAGATTCATAGAAATATCTTGGATTGACCCTGCAAAGTAACTCAATTTATCAATTCATCAGATTTCTGGAAGATATGCATCTTTCAGAGTGGAGTGGAATCCGAATGAAAGAGAGATGACTTCGATGTAATCTCCACAAAACTCGATGATATCGTTGAGAAAAAGGAATGTGTTTCGGAATCAGAATAGTGCATCTTCATCCTAACCCAGAGTTTCACAATACGAAGAAACAATTGATATAACTAACTCAGATTCGCAAATTTGATCATCAACTACTGATACAGAACTCTCTACGAACATTAGTCTGGATTTGCTCCGCTTCTGAGGCACAGGACGTTGAAGTTCGAAAGAACAAACGATATTTATAGGATTTCATGAATTTAATATCCCTGAACAAATTTGGTTGAAATTCTGCACAGCTGCTCCAATAGTGGATAAGGCACTTATTTCAAGCCGTAACGAGATTGAAATCTTCAGGTTCAGTAACGTTGCAGTGGGCACCATGGATGGAGATATTAAGAAAAAAATACGACACTGACATCATGGTTGGTGCCGTGGCAGAGTATGTTTTTGTGCTGAATTTCGCTAGATAGCCGTTCACGATGCGAAGGTACTTTCGGTTAGAATCCAGCCATCGGCTGAGCTTTTTTTCTGGAATGTGGGATTTATGGTTGTTCTCCTGGCAGCACCTCGATGCCCTAGAAGTGGTTCGATCCACTATATGCTGTAGGTCCCGCTTTCCCTAACCCCGCACGAGTTTCGACTTCTGGGGAGTTGGTTCCCAACTTTGAAGTTGCGATATCCAAATGAACAGATGAATGAAAAACTGAAACAATATGCTGCAGTACTTTCCGGATAAGGCAGTGATCGAATTTGACCCAATTATTGCAGGGGCTTTTTGGAAGGCAACTGAATGAAATCTGCAATGCTCTATATCTCAGTGACGGAGTAACATAGGAACTTTTTTTCTTCAAACGACCTTACAAATCGAAGTTCCGTATAATAGTTGACAAACACCCTGTATATCTAGTTAATGAGCCGGTTGATGCCTATGGTCATGATTTCATGTCAATATTTCTGAGAGGATTCCATCAAATGAAGGACTTCAAGATACAAAATGAAAATTATTTTATTTCAATATTTCTGAGGGGATTTCATCAAATGAAGGTCTTCAAGATACAATATGAAAATTATTTCCATCAGAATACATGTTGGGTATGTGTTGCGGGTACATATATTTCGTCAGATCGTATTGTATCAAAACCGTATTTCATCAAATCGAATCCTATCATAATGGCATTCTGTAGAAACTGTACTTCATAGAACCAATAATTCATCAAAATATAAAGGATCATAATGTATCTCATCATACAGTTAAACGAAGAAATGTACTTCATAGAGAAGTGAAACATCATACCTTATTTTTTAGAATTGGTAATCCATCATAACCGTATTCCATCGAAACAGTAAATCATCAAAATCGTATTATATCGAGACAATATTGTATAGAACCTGTTGAGCATCGAAACGGCAATTCTTCAGATCCTTATTTCATCAAAACATCAATCTATCAGAGTGAACACTCATCGGATTTGTAATTAGGCGGAACCGTAATTTGTAGAATCCGTAATTCGCCAGAACCGTATTTCATCAAATCAATAATCCATCATAACCGTATTTCGTAGAATCGGTAATTCATCAGATTCGTATTTCATAGAAACAGTAATTCATCAAACCCGTATTTTATCGAAACGTCAATTCATCATATCCGTATTTCATAGAATCAGTAATTTGTCAGCCCCGTATTTTATAGAAACGGTAATTCATCAGATCCGTACCTATTTCATAGAATCAGTAATTCATCGAACCCGTATTTTATAGAAACGATAATTCATCAAATCCGTATTACATAGAATCTGTTATTTGTCAAACCCGTATTTTATAGAAACGGTAATTCATCAAATCCGTTTTAAACAAATTTTAGGTTGAAATCGAAATGTTACAGAAAACTGCATTGCAGTGACTCGCCAAAGTAAATTTTGGATAGTTGAGTAGGACACGCACAGATGTCGCAGCTCGATAGTGAAGTATAGTAAAATACTGTCGAGAATTATTGATTTTACAGAAACAGCAAGAGATGCATTCGTTCATA